AAAAATATGAATTTAATCTCTATGAAATAGGAAATAAATAAGCTAAGTATGTAAAATAAAGTTTTTAAATTGTTACATCCAGTATGATTTAGTTTGATCGTTGATTTGACGCTTATATTTGTACTATGGAGAACAATAATAACGTGCGACATAAAATGAGTAAATCAAAAACATGCTCTATTTCTCAGCGATAGGTTACATTTACTTATCTATATATGATTTTACCAAATGGAAGGCGAAGAATATTAAAATTTATTTATGAATTCATGTCTCTCTACACAGAGGAAGGAGCTTGTGTTAATATCTTTTATACAGGGAGAAAATAGATTGATTAAAGGAAAATGAATAGGAGATATTTAACAAATTTAACGTATTGAAACACGTTTGAATTATTGAATTTGTGGCATTATAACAAAATTATTGATGACATATTATTTTTCTAAATCTGAAAACTATATACAACCACCAAATATCTAGTACTCCATATATTTAACACGAAATTAACTTACTTTATTGGAAAAAGTTGGATTATACCAATAAAATAATAAAATAAAAATAAAAATAAAAATAAAAATAAACAGGGGGACAGGCAAGGCTAGTGCTTGTAGAGCAGCGATGACTCATATCTTTGATTATTTTTTCTCGACCTTTCGAAAAAGTAAGAAGTAGATGGAATATACTTTGCATTATACCCTTATAAATATAGACAATGCCTACTTCCAAAAACACATTCACACACACAGATTCAGTCTCAAGAAAATGGGGCGTTATCCTAGCTTATTTGCAACTGCTATGCTCGTGCTGATGCTTTTCATGGCCACAGGTAAACCAGCTTCTCTGAGTTATACCCGACTCCACTCGACGTTGTGATTTTTATTTGTTTTCCTTAACAACTTAGGTTACCACATGCGAGGAGGGTTTTGTGTTTGTCATGTAAAAAATTATGTTTTGTTCTAAATAATTACATGCAGCTTAATTTCGTTTATGTGACTACAGGGACAGGTCCAATGATGGTGGCAGAGGCAAGGATATGCGAGTCCCTAAGCCATAGGTTCAAAGGGCCGTGTGTGAGAAGGGGCAATTGCGCCGCCGTGTGCCAGACGGAGGGCTTTCCTGGTGGCCTCTGCAGGGGCTTCCGCCGCCGCTGTTTCTGCACCAAACACTGTTAAAATTGATCGCAGTGTCCGAGATTGAGTTATATAAGAATTAAACGTGTGCTTTTGGAGTTAACTCTTTTCTCTTTGTGTATGTTTGCGTGTCTTAAAATAAGAGTGTCCCCACCCTCTCCCTTATGAAGCAGTGTCGTTTTGTTTCTCGTCCTTTGGTGGACGTTGTTCAATCTATGGCTACGAGTAATTATGCTGTCATTGACACGTTTTTTCAACGTCACTATAC